GCCTGACACTCACAATGGTTTTTCAGTTCATGCAGACCTGATATATTTTCTGTATGGTGACTTAACTTTTCACTAACAAGCCATAATAACAACCCATGACTTGTCTGAGGGGTTGTTCGTGCTCTGATAGTTTATCCTGTCGCTCAGCAAGAGTAGAACCTCACACACACCATTTTTCATGATCTTGCCAGTCCTCTTCCCATGACTGGTTTCTCCATTGATGCCCAAATGGCTGTGAGTTTGTCAGGTTTTTTTGACCCCTGAAATGTAAGCAAACATTTTTGTAATTTTTCTTTTTTGATGTTTTTGTTGGTCTTTCACAAGCAAACTCTTGCAGCTTTCCAGTATGTGTCACCTTTCCTGGTCAATTTTTCTTGAATACTTCAGCCGTTAAAGGCATGAGGCAAAATGTACAAGAAAACTGAAAGGACTAATTTGTGCACAGTTGAAAAGTACCAGGGAAAAATAATAGTAAGGGAGAAGCAGGGTTCATTTGTTCCAGGTTAAAGGACAGAAAATGGCAGAATCAACAGGAGAAAAATGGGGAGGCACAACATCTCCCACTTACCAGTGCAATTCTTTCAATTATAAGCTTTGAGTGAAAGTTCTCAGTATCTTCCAACTTTTCAGTGTTTCCCCAAGTCTGTGGTTAGTCCAGAACTGGCTCCCCTCCCACACATATATGCATATTTTCTGTGGCTCCTTGTTAGAGTAATTGCTGCTGTTCCCTGAAATACACACACACATCCTGACTGAGAAGTAAATGGAGGAGGGTGGAGTCGAGCCTTTTGGGAAAAGAAGGGAAGAAGGAATTCAGTGATAAATCTACTCTACATGTGGGCAAGAGCTGTTCTCACAACCTGGAGGGGACGCTACTCTGGCATTGCTGAAAACAACCTTCATACGAAGCACCCTGTAGCACAAAAAAACCTGTCTAGCTCAAATAAAGAATTATATTTTCAAAGCTTTCTGTTTAGACCTGCAGGAAGGGGAAAAGGGGAGATTGGGTCTCATGACATGCTTGATACTCTAGCCTTGGACACCAACTGTGGGAAAACTAGATAATGGGCATACTTGTGGACTTCTGGAGCAGGAACTGGGAAGGTTGCTAAACTTTATTATGACCTGAGAGACAAAGTTGAATTAGGCTGAAAGGAAATAGCAGTGCTTCAGAGCCAGTAATTCCTTGCAGAGCTTTTAGGCTAATTATATGGATATTGTTTGATGCTTCTGGCACTTGGCTGTCCCCATGCTCCAAGTTGGAGAGTAAGGGTGCTGCCTAGGCGTATATTCTCTCCTTGCATCTCCATAAGGTTATGACAAATGCTCTGTGCCTGAACGAAAGCTGCAGTGGTGGTGGTGGTGGTGTTAATAATAATAATTTATATTTCTCTAGTGGATGGGGCAAGCTGATGAGGGAACATGTGTTGTGCAGTCATTATCTGGATAAGGACCAGTAAACTGAGACTCGATCCAGGCATGATGTTGTGGGTGGTCTGCCTTTCTGATTAAGTGGCAGTCAATTTGTGTGTGGTTTTGCTTTCCTTTTGCTTTGCTTTGCTTTGCTTTGCTTTGCTTTGCTTTGCTTTGCTTTGCAGTGGGGGGTCCTTAGGGAGTCTATGCATTTATGGGCTTAACTCTTCAGGCATACTAAAATTAGTATGTGAGCAGTTTTCTGTGCCTTTGCTTTTTTCTTAAAATATAAATGATGTAAAGGAATTATATGGCATTGGGTTTCATCTCTTAAAATGTTTATTTATTCATTAGATTTATATCCTACCTTTTTTTAAAGAACTCAAAGCAGTTTATGTAAGTATCCTGCTCTTGCTCTCCATCTTATACCTGCAACAACCCTGTGAGGTAGGCAGGACTGAGAGTCTGTGGTTGGCCCAAACTCATCCAGTGTCTAGTGGGGGCTAGGACCAGATCTCCTGGGTCCAACACTGGATAGTCATCTTCTCTTTGGGGTGTTCTTAGAAGTAGCATCTTCTGGGTAGAGCATATTGTCCATCCCTGGCATAGTTGTTGGCCAAATCCATCTCTCGTGGCTTCCATTAACCCTTTTATAAAAGAGGGGTGAGGATCCTTGGTGACATCTGCCTTTCAGTGGGATTGAGAGGGCTAATTAGAGATTTAATGATGGAGACTGCAAGAGGCACTAAATAGTGCTCGATTTCTTCACTAAGAGTAGAACTGTTACAGAGGCACACTCCCTTCTGTACCATCAGTTCCTTGTGGATTTATTCATATTCGTTACTTTGTGGCATAAAAATAACCTCTCCCAAGGTCTTGTGCACATTCGAAAAGTTTCTGCGGCCTACGTGCTGGAAAAAAAATCTTCCATGTGGTAAAAAATTCCATTATGCTCTGTTCTTGTCTGACCAGTAGACGGTGTATTCTGGAAGTAATCTTGCATGACTCTGTTCATTTGCCATCTCTTTGCTTTGCCTTCTAGAGTGTTCTTAGCTGGTCAGGTACTGAGCAATCCTGCTTCAGTAGTTCTGGGTAAAAATAAACTCTTTCACATATGTGTGCCACTTTTCTGTTTGCACAGGGTAACCCACCCTGACCTTTCCAGAGGCAACAGCAGCTGTTCTGTTTCTTTTGCCTCTTTCCATAGCAGTTGTTTGTATGCCTCTACTAAGGAAGCAAAGCATGTGGAAAACCTAAGTGACTGACTCTTAAAGCTGAAGGTAGATGAGTTGACTAGAATCACGTACCTGATCCTGCCTGATCTTGGAAGCTAAGCAGGGTCAGTCCTGGTTAGAATCTGAGACTTGAGTCCTGCATGGAGCAGAGGGCTGGACCTTCTAGGCCTCTTCCAGCTGTAGGATTCTACGATTCACATTTTTGATCCACTTGACCATGGATTGTTTATCTAGGTTGGACTTGGGAAGCATGGCATTATACGTAGTTTCCGATCTTAACTGGAGGAGCAGGTACAGTTGGTGGTGCTGGGGGACTTCCCTTTCACTCCATGGCTCTTGACCTCCTATATTTTTTAGCATCTACATGAAACTGCAAGACAAAGCCATTTGGAGTTTTGGGCTGAAGTTACGACAGTGTACAGGTGATACCCAGGTGTTTCTACTGCTCCTAGGAAGACTGTGAAACTCTTGAACCTTTGTCTGGGGTGGGGTGGGGGTGAGTAAGATGAGCAGGAAAACCGACCACTCTGCATGGAAGATTATAACTGACCTTAGCCGAGACTGCACTCTTCCTGAAAGATTAAGCATGCCTTCTTCAGGATTTGTTGCTCACTAGGGAATCTTGGGTGGCAGTGGGGGCCGCAAATGTTTTTTACCAGCTCAGGCTGAATGCCAGCAGCAACCTTTTCTGGAGAATTCTGGTCTTGCCTTTGTTATAGGTGCATTAGTAATGTGCAGGCTGGACCATAATGCACCATTCAGGGGGATGCATTTAACAACCATTTGGAAATTGCAGCTGGTGACAGACACAGGTGGTCAAGTATTGATAGGGGTTAGTCCATTAATATGACCCCTGTAATAAGCCAGCCCATCCTCAAACTGCATCTGAAGTGCTGGTTTTATTCTTTGGAGCCTTGCAGCAGTTTGGGGCTGAGTTATTTGAAAGACTGCCTGCATTTTAGGGCAAGGGAATTCCTTTTTGCTCACCTATCCCTTGAGAACAATTGTGTTGAAGAGTATAAGGGAGAGAACCTTTACTGAAGTTGCCCCACATCACTGGAAAGCATGGCTACATGCTATTCATTAAACCTCATCACTGCAGCTTGTCAGGAAAGCCCTCAAGAGTCTGTATTTTCCAGGGCTTTTTCTTGTGTTTTAAAGGAACCCTGATAATTTTGACTGCAAGGGGTTTTTTACTTGAACATTTCAGTGAGATAACTCTTGCTATTGTTACTGGTACTTATTTATTCTGTTATTGCATCGTATTTTGCTCTTGAGAGGGCTGTACCTTAAAAGGTGATTATAAAGTAAATTTATATGACCAGGGATGGACAAACAGCATTGACCTCAAATGCACCCAGATTTTGCAAGCATTCCTTGCAGTTTTCAAAACCCCTTGAGGGGTTTTGTTAGTACATGCTAGGAATGCTTGCAGAACTCAGATGATCAAATTAATGATAGCCTTGTAGCTGAGGAGAGGTGCTGTTGGGCTTCTCAACTGCACACAGCTGTCATTTGCTGCCAGGGATCATGGGGGTTTTGCCCCAAAGCCCTGCAGTCTTTAGCTGGCAATAGTGGAGGTGGGGCATGAGTCCCAGATGGAATTAGAACAAGCTCAAAGTGGGCTTTATCCAGCTTATGTTAGGGTTGCTGTATTCGAGTGAGGCAGGTCACAGTTTGAGCTTGTACCACCCCCAATGATGGATGTTTTCCTCAGGCAATCTGGAAAGGCCATGACTTAATTAGACCTTACCTTGATTGTGAAAAGTAGAGCCAGTTCTCTTAAGGTTTAGGGAGAAGGCTGTGATCCTGACTTTGAACTGTGTATCAAAGAAGAACAGGGAAAGGAGATGGAGTAGAATCGCTACAGATTTGACTTGCATAATCCTGGCACTTGATAACCAATGGAATTAAGAATGCCAGGGGAGTTCTGCTGGCCTCTCTGGTCCAACATTCTGTTCACACATTGGCCTGCAAGATGCCCTTGGGAAACCCATAGTAGGACATGAACACAACTCTGCCTTCCTGTTTTTATTCTCCAACAATTAGCATAGAGGAGGTTACTGCCTCCGGAAATTTAATTTCTGTTTAGTTGTCATGACTGGTAGCCACTGATGGTTCTGTCCTCCATGTATTTGTCTATTGAGGCCCACTTTAAAGCTGTATGTGCTGGTGGCCACCTCCATCTTGTGGGGGGTGGAGTCCACTGTTTATGCTAGAAGCTGTAAGAAGGATTTGGTGGGTTCAGGTAGCTTTGATTTTTAAAAAATTGTTAGCAGCAGAAGTAATTAAATAAGTGTGGTTGAAAATGTATCACCTGTTGTAGGGACTAATAGGCAACTGTCTTTTCAGCATTGTTACCATGCATTGGAACATAAGTCTTCAAAGATGTGTCTTGGTGCTGCACCTTTGGTTTTTGGGTTTTGCCTGCTGTATGTCAACCAGCACAGAAGCCCCGTCCCAGCCTTCCATCACGGCGGCCTCCTTCCTGCAGGACCTCTTCCTCCGGTATGGCGAACATGACAAGCTCACTTTGCAGCAGCTTAAATCCCTGTTGAATCGCCTAGATGTGGGGGTTGGACGGAACAACATCAGCCATACAAAGCAGCAGCAGAGGAATGTCTCCTGGGTAATGTATTATACTTATTTAAGATATTGGTCTCCTTCTTGTTAGTCCAAATGCACCCACAAAGCATCATACAGGAGTTAAAACCTCTAGCGCTCATAGATATCACCACTTAAAACATATTAAAACAAGCCTAAAGAGTTCAAAACAGAGTACCACAAGTTAACTTCACTCAGTTGATTTTGAAAGCTCTCTAACACTGCCTTGATTTGATGACTGCAAGTTAACACAGCAGGAACAGGGTGGGTCTCTTTGGGGGAGCTGGTTGGGAGCCAGTGGTTAAGAGCACAGGACTGGAACTCAGGAGATCTGGATTCTAGTCCTCACTCAGCCATGAAGCCCACTGGTTGACTTTGAGCCAGTCACTCCCTCTTAGCCTAACCTTCCTCACAGGGTTGTTGTTGTGAGGATAACATGGAGAGGAGGAGAACCGCCTAAGCTGCCTTGGATCGCTTGGAAGAGGTGAGATATAAATTCAGTGTAGCAGCAGCAACAGGCATCCTCATGCTGCTACTGGAAAGGCCACGTCCCAGCTCGCCACAGTCCTTGCTTCTGATGGAAGAGAAGCATGAAACAGCATCTCTGTTTCATATTTATACAGTACAAGTTGTCTGTGGGGTACCCAGATCTAGGCTGTTCAGGGCATTAAAGGCCAAAATCAGCAACTTCTGTATTATGATTATGCTTAACTGAGATTATGCACCATCCTTTGACCAAGAAAGCCTCCCAAAGCAGCCTACATAAGATAAATAAAAACAAGAAACAGGAAAAACAGCCCCCTCCCCCACCCATCTACAGGGTCACAATATAATAGATGTGACCTACATGGATAAAGGGAAGAAAAAACAATTGGAAAAGAATCTGAGCACTATTCTTATAGTTATGAAATTTACTAAAATGACCAGCTTGAACAGTTCAGGGGGAGGATCCAAATGAAATTCGTGTCTTAGGAGAACTGACAGAATGGCCCCTCCTTTCCATTTTGCCTTCCTTCACAGCTTGATGGAATAGCTGCCACCAGGTGACTGGTGAGGGAGGGAGGAGGTTGATGGAGCTGGCCTTTCTGCAGAGTTAGCAAAATGAACTCTATTCCCCATTCCTCCCTGTGTTGCGGCATAATGGAATGCACTTTGAATCGGGCCTGGAGAACTTGGGCCTGCTGAAGCTGTTACAGAATTGGAGGAGATAAGTCCTATCCTGTACGAAGCCCTACGCTTCAGTTGGTCCAAAATCTGAATGCTTGGGAAACCTTAGAGGATTCCTGCCAGAGGAGTGTACAGTTCTGTAATTCTCAACATATCTTTCCCTCTGTCCTGCAGTGCTTCAGTTCCTCAGAGCTCTTTGCTACCCACAACCTGAGTGAAGGGTCTCACCTGGGCCAGAGTGAGTTCCAAGAATTCTGCCCAACTATCCTGCAGCAGCTGGAATCAAGAGCATGCAGGCCGGAGAATCTGGAGAATGAGCAAACAGAGGAGGGGAAGCCCAGTTCTGTAGAAGGTCTGTATATCTGGTGCAAGACAGCCAGGTTCAGCTTGTGTAGACAGAAATGCTGTATGTTCTGGCCTTCCTTGTTCCCTGCAAGCTAGAACTCTGAGCTATTGTCCTTATGGAGTTTTTCTCTTTCCACAGTAGGATGACCTTATGGCCAAAGAATGGACTTGCAGAAGATTTGAAGTCGGGGATGGTGAAGTCGGGGATGGTGTTTGTCAGGCTATAACAGTTATGGCTTTTCTCTTTCAACTATCTCATTCCAAGGATCTTTTTTCACTTACAATACTATATTGCATATAAAAGCAGAGAGTATATAAAAAACACAGATCAATTTCTCAGTAACAAGAACACCCTAAAGCTGGAGAAAATGTAGTAAGAGCATTGAACTGTGTTCTTTGGGAGCCTAGAGAAATCCGTTATATCAGTTAAACAAAATCTCAGACATTTTTCTAAAATGATAGTCCCAGGAACTAGCTCCTTGCACAATATATTTACATATATTATGGTGTGTGTAATTTTACATACACACACTTTGTTAGAATTGAAGGTTTCCATTCTTAGTTGGCCAAATAAGTTTCTTTTCCATTCCAGGTAGCACAAGCAATTTGGTGCTTTGGAAATGTGCTGAGCTCTTAAGAAGGCCATTCTGACCTTCTTGCAAAAAAGAGCTGCAAGAGAGTTGAAAGCCTTGGAACTCTCCTTTAGGATATTATCATTTTGGAGAAAAGAGTGATTTTGTCACTGTTTTTCTGAGTCTATTGTGGTGAAGTGTCTTACATTTTCATCTTGAACCTAAATAATTTTATAGGATGTTAGTTATATAGACACATTGTTTCTTGAGGTCCCTGTACAAGGAATGCCCTTGCCTGGGAAGCTGAAACTTAGTTCTCCCCTACCTCTGAGAATATGTTTTAGCTTTGTCCCAGATAATTGAGTTGCTAGTGTTGTAAGCTAGCTTTGATCATATGCAGTCTGTATAGGTCAGTGAAAGAGATCAATGGATGTACAGATGTTGCCCTTTCTGAAGGCCAGAACTTTATTTGCTTTGGTTTGTGCTGCAGAAAGTGTGGCTTTTACATTTTGTGAAGCAGCCTGTGAACTTAAATAGAAGGTTAACTGCTGTAAGGCCACCTCTCAGTTTAAAGCCAAGAGCCTCCTTGCATCCATTCACAGAGGATGCCTGTGCACAGGAGATGTAGGTCTGTAGTTATGAACTGTAGGGATTTGCTCTCATTATATCCCAGACTTTCTTTAAATTGCAGCACAATTTACATTTTTCTAGACAGTGAACTATGACAACCACTGGGTGAAAGCAACTATTTAACAGCACTGTTCTGCTGGGTGCAGCTTCAAGCCCGTACTCACCTACTCAAGTGTAAATCCTGTTTACCACATTTGGACTTAATTCTAGATAGACTTCTTTAGGATTGCATTGCACGGCAGAATGGAGAGAGAAACCAGAGATGCGTGTTGGCAGAGAAACTAGTAATTACAGCAGTTTCAGTAGATCACAAGATAAAGTATGAGTCAGCAATGTGTAGCTATTGCCTTTTTTAAATGAAAAGGCAGAGGAGAATGAGAAAAAAGGCCAGCATTATTTGGCATCACAAATACAGGCATGGTTAGAACACAGGAAGCTGAGTCAGGCTGTTAATCTGTCTAGGCCTTGTTGCCACTGACCAGCAGTGGCTGTCCAGGTTTTCAGGCAGGAAATTTTCCAGCCATGCCTGGCAATGTTGAGATTGAACACAGGATCCTCTGCATGTGAGACATGCTCTACCACCAACTTGCACCTCTTTCCCAGACAGTGTTCATAATGTCCCTGAATCTGTCCAGTGCCGGAGTTGTCCCTCTGGAGGCGTTGTAAGCATCGTATCCAAAGTCGAATTCAAAATAGTAAAATGATGGTGACTTTTGCCTGTGGCATATAGGAAAGCTGAATGAGCAAGTCGTTCTAAGGTGTCACGCACAGCACATCTTGACTGACACAACCCTTCCCGGTTTGGTCAAGGGGAGGAGTCTTCCAAGTCAGATTCATGTCCTTGGTATGCTCTGTGCAGCATTGAGTTTGCTAGCTTGGAAGCGCCTCTGCCTGTGGATCTGTTTATTCAGATCTGTAGGTGGGGAGAGTCCCAGCTTGCCATTTCAAGGGCCAGGCTGTGTTCGTCCTAACCAGGCCTCTAGGATCTATGCAAGATTAAAGTCGCTGTCTAATTTTTTTTACTTTGAGGGTGCAAACTTCACACCTGCGAAGAACAACAGGCAATTTTCCCCTCCAAAGAGGGATGCTTTGGGTCTGCTGCCTTTAGAAGATCAGATTGTAGAGAGACATAGTGTTTTTTTCTCTCCAGAGTTCTGCAAGACCATGTTAGCAAAGAGGGAGAAATAGGGCTGAATGTCACCACCACCAATTACATTTCTATACTGCCTTTAACCAATGCTTTCTGGGCAATTCACAACATTAAATCAGCCATCTAGATGTCAACCAGGCCTGACCCTGCTTAGCATCTAAAATTAGGCAGGATCAGGCACTTCAGGCTATCTGGAAGCTAGTTCCTTCTGAAACTCTATTTGAGAATATGAGGCAGCGAGGCTACCATCACCTTGACAAATCCTTTGAGTAACGGTGACCCAGATCTTGGCCGGTGGGGAATAAGTAAGACTCTTCTCCTGTCAATTCACATCCAACCCTGGAATACCATCCAAAGGAAGGGGGGACACCAGGGTTTGAGTACCACTGTTGTACATACACATAAAAAGGGAAGACACAGAGGTCTGCGTAATCTGTTATATTATAGAACTTCCAGAAATGAAGGCGTGGGACTATTCTAGGATTATTCTTTATAGTTTTCTATCTCATTCCCAATGTCCCCTGTAGCCCGTAAATGTAGACTTATAGTTAATGAACAACAGGGATTTGACACCTTTCATGTATTTTTTTTAAATAACGGCTAACACAGTTCCTTTTTTATAAGCCAACAGACCGTGGCAGATTTCAACTCACAGCTAAAAACTGAGCGGTGGTGCTAGCACTGCAAAAGCACCTGTTCCGTTTTTTTGTCTTGAGCACCTTACTTACACTGAACCCCTAATATTTTAAGCTACCTGAGATCCTTAATCACAAACCTTGACTTGATGCTTTTAGCTTGTTAATGAGTTCTTCCCAAATGTAAATCAGATCAGTTTCCCACAACTTCCCAAGTGTTAGCAGTGGAACTGAAAGGATAAGGAGCGAAGTCCATGTGTTGTAGCAGTCCTGGGGCTGATCATCATCATCTCCCACTGGATTGCATCAGACTTAGTGGGGTCAAGGTATATACTCAGTGGCATACAGCTTCTGCTGGATCGAGAGACCCCTTCCCGTTTTCAATTAGTTGCGTATAACTTCCCCTCCTTTCTTCTTGTTCACAGTCTGGGGCTTTGGCTTTCTCAGTGTTTCGCTGATTAACCTGGCCTCCCTCCTTGGCGTCTTCATCGTGCCCTGCACCAAGAAGAAATTTTTCGCCCGAATCCTAACTTACTTCATCGCGCTCTCCATCGGAACGCTGCTCTCTAACGCACTGTTCCAGCTGATCCCAGAGGTGCAGTAAGACACACCCACACAGCTCCAGTCATAATCACTCCACCTTTGCCTGTGCATTGGTTCAATAGGTTTCTCTGCTCACAACTGAGAGAGAGAACACTTCCCTCTGCAGTGGCTTTTGAGGCACATGGTTCCCCTCTGAGCAACAGGAAGCTCCCTAGGGTCAACTGAGAGATTTGGAGCAGGTTCTTCTTTGTGGTCGCTGCATGGACACATCCATGACTTTTGTGCCTGTGTACAGCACGTTATGGGGATTTTCCTGAAATAAAGTCTGGGAGCTGGTGCTGATACCCCCTCTCCTCAAGGGCCGAGACTTAGCACTGAGCTCTGGTTGCTGCGTGTCATTCTCAATTGTCTAGAATGAGTGCACAGGAGCTAAATCTCCAGATGTTTTGGACTTCAGCTCCCAGAGGCCCCTGCCAGCATGGTCAAAGGTCAAGAATCCTGGGAGTTGGACCAAACACCTGGAGATCGATTTTGCACTCATCCGTGGTCAAGAAGAGCAGTGTGAATTTTTACAGAGCACCTTTGAGGTGTTACACTTTCTTGAACTTTCATTCCAGGGTTGATGGGATTCGGTTGATGGTGCTTCTGATGAAAAGTTCTCTTCATTGCACTAAATATGGTTGAAAGGGGCTGGATTTGGGGCATATGTTGTTTCTTTGGAAATATGGTGAGGGCATTTTCACTGAAACACTGGATAATAGTACCCTTCAGTCAGACTTTGCCAGTTGATGGCCTGGAATGAGGAAGACGTGGATGGATTGAGACTCTCTAGCACTCAGATTCTGCACTGGGCTGAGGAATCGTATTAGCTAGGAAGCAAGGTGCAGCTGGAGCCTGCAGATGCTTTTGTTCAAAGAGTAAGGAGCAAACATCATACAGGTTTCTACTATAGTGAAAGAGCTCTTCTCTGTCGAAACCCCAGGTTTTCTCTTGGTTCCTCTTTCAGTAATTGATCTAATAATTCCCTTTCAACAAAGAGAAGCAAATTCTTGATGCCATGATGGGCTTTGTCAGATACTGCCTTGAGTCAATTTTGGATAAATTGCATGCTTGGGGGCTGCTTCAGTATCAACATGAACTCTACTTCCTAGTTTTGAAGTCAGGTAATTCCTTTAGTGCGCTTCTTTCTTCAGGCTTACTGTTCTGACTTTAGCTGTGTGGCATACATATGTAAAGTGTGGTGCAAGGCTTAGAGTGTTGGACTGGAGACCTGAGTGATCTGGGTTCTAGTCTGCACTCAGCCATAAAGCTCACTGGGTAACTTTAGGCCAGTAACTCACTCTCAGCCTAGCCCACCTCACGGTGTGTGAGGATAAAAGGGAGTAGAGGAGAGCTGTATAAAAAGGCATGATCGAAATGTAATGTAACAATAACAATAATTTTTAAAATACATTTTGTGGGCTTGTAAATCCAGCTAGTTCCTCACACATCAAAAATCAGGGGTTTCAATGAGATCTCATTTGTCCCTGCTGTGAAAAATTGCAGATTAAAGGCTACATTTGTAGTCTCTGTCCCAACCATCTCTGTCAGCTTCTCTTATTGTAATTTGTGCAACTCTCATTTTGTATAGCTAATTCCTGGCTAGCCAAAAGCATTGTGCTCTGTAATCCATTTTCTTTTGTAGATCTTATAGTCTGGAATTGTAAATCTAATGGAGGGGAGGGGGGGAGAGATTTGTTTCTTGCAAACAAAAACATCTTTGAGATCCAGCAGGAATAAAAATAATACTATATGCTTCACTGCCATTGTTGAGTTCTCTGTCTTGTAAGAACAACTGAAATGAAAATGTTCCTTCTGGTGAGGCCTTCTATAACTTTGGCAGCAGAGGCTTTTTCAAGTTCTGGGGCTTGCCCCTATACCTGGCAGGTAAGGCCACCTGTGTAATGGCTCCCTCTGGCCATGCAACAGACTATGGAAGTGAAGTATATAGGATGCTGGGAGCAAAACTGGGTGTTCCGCATGGCACTGGAACTCTGTCATTGTTCCCTTGATGGGACCATGTGCTGCAAAGATAGAAAAATATCTGCTATGAAGATAATAGCCCCGCCAGCAGTTTGTGGGGCTGGTGACCTGTGCACTCTGCTTTCAGCTGAATCAATGTCTGATGGCTGCGATCCAAAGCACAGCTTGCTGTTTGGGGCAGTTTGCATTGGGACTTCCTTAGGAACAAAAATGCATAGGATTGGATACTAAAGGCTATTTATTGTGGGGCTGTGAGGAGGATCACTGGATAGGGACTACATGGGAGGGAGAGGGGGTGCCCCTCAGTCTCTGCTTTGCCTGTGGGGAGAGTCTTCCCCATCTCTCCTTCTCTGAAGTGAGTGAAAAAGTCCAGGGCTGATTTCCCACTGAGTCCAGGGGGCTCAACTGCACTTGCTGTTCTTCAGTGGTTTCTCAGAGTTCCAGAACCATAGTTAACCAGGTTGCTTCCAGCATGCCTGAATCAGTCCCTGATGACATACCAATCACTAATAAATGTCCCATTTCTTTCTCTCTCCTCCCCTCCTCCCTGTTGTGAATTCATTCCTGCATCTTCTGCCCTTCTGACTTTCCCCTTGGCATTTCCTCCCACCTGTGGTTTCACTGGGGTGGGGTCAATGCTGTCTCCACAGTCTGGGGTTATGGTTTCCTCTGTGTGACCATCATTTCCCTCTGCTCCCTGGTCGGGGCCAGTGTGGTGCCTTTCATGAAGAAGACCTTTTACAAGCGGCTGCTGCTCTACTTCATAGCTCTGGCGATTGGCACTCTCTACTCCAATGCCCTCTTCCAGCTCATTCCTGAGGTATGACCAAGGCACCTGCTGCGGGCCTTCTTTGTGTGGCTGTGTGTCTTTTGTGCCATCTGCATCATGAGAAGGCAAGTCTGGTATCAGTCACTCTTCGGCAGAGTGAAGAGCATTTCTGTCCAGTCTGGGAAGCATTTAAGCCTAGATAAAACTGAGGAAAATAGCATTGTGCTGGGATTGATAGACTCAGATATTGTGGAACAGTTGGCACTTGGCCATCTCCATGGCATTTCCTGGGTTTTTTGCTCCATAAGCCCTTGAATGTCAAGTGAAGTTAAAAATGACTTGGAGGCTTATCTCAAACCTGCATTTTGTCACCTTAAGTGCTACTGCTGTTAAGATAAGGAAACTGTTCCATGCTGAGGGTTCCACGTTGGGCTCATGCCTTAAACGGCGGGAATCCTGTGCTACCGCATGTCGGCTGAGTGGCCTTATAAGCACAAATGCCATTAATCTGGTCCGTTCTCCGTGCGCTGCCAGCTCCAGGCAGCAAACGCATTAATGTCAGGAAAGCAATTTTCCATAAAAGATTTGTTCAGCCTCTTGAACATGGTTTGTTGGGAAGCTAGGTCATCGGTGAGGAAAGGAGCTATTCACACACATGGCCACAGACTTCTCTAGCAAGCAAGAAGGTATCCCCCTCCAATTTTCTTCACCATTGTACTGTTTGAGCTAGAATGAAAAGGGAGAACTCGCCTGTTTGCTCTGTGAAGCATTTGCGGGGAGGATATCCTCGCTAAAAATTATGCACAAGGTATTTTTGGGATGTTCTCATTAGCTTGAGGAAAAGAATGAGTAAGGGAATTTTTTTCCACACTGTAATATGAAGTCTGTGAGACACGCATCGGTCGAGAAGTGGGTTACAGTATCAGAACACTGGTTCTTGCATCAGACCTTCTGTCGGATGGCTCTGCTTTAGGGAGCAAGTTAGCCTTCCCTTGGAAATGGTTTCTAGATTAAAGGAATGTATTTCCATGGAGGAGTATTTAACCATATTACTTTCCTTTAGGGTAGTATTAGACTGCCTCTCTGCTCTGTGAGTGCGTGGGGTGCTATACAAAGAATAATACCCACAACGACCAAGGTGAAAGAAGCAATCAGTAAAATAACATCAGGAATCTTGAAGCATCAGAAAGTGACATTAACTATCAAAACCTCACCAGAACATCATTGCCTTAACGTGGGCCCATACATGGCATGGCATAGCCAAGTCATCCATCTGCTGCTTTAGTTACGAGACTTTGCAGCCAGCTGTCACCAAGAAATAGCCCTATAGTCCCTGAGCTCTGCAGAACTTTTTACTTCCTTGTCCCAGCCTCTCTTAGAGATGATGAGAAAGGGAGCTGAAATGGGGGGGGGATGTAAACTCTTTACGCACTTTGTTCTTTAATTATGTGCTTCACCAACTCTTTTCTGCCCTTATTTTAGGCCTTTGGGTTCAAACCTGAAAAAGATGATTATGTCTCCAAATCTGCTGTTGTCTTCGGGGGCTTTTACCTATTCTTTTTTACAGAGAAAATACTGAAAATGCTTCTCAAGCAGAAAGACCAGGTGAGCTGGGGCAAACTCTGAAGGGTGTGGGGCATTTCTATTCTTTGCTGAGAAATGACTTGTGGATGCAACTCTGGTAGAGATCTTGGTTCTTTTACTTTAAGTAATTATTTATAAATCGGTTAGCATCAAATACTGGCGCTCACTAACAAGAAAACAAGTTTTGTATTTTTTTCCATGCAAATATATCAGGAGCAGGAATCCTGCTGGGACTTCAGCAGTCTAAGAAGGTGGCTTGCAAATGTTTGCAATACAAAGAATTCTTTTTTCCACATAGATTTGTTGACTGAGGAGTCCCTGCGGTGAAACACCTGCTTGTTACAAAGTATTCTGGGATGTGTGCTTGGGAGTGCTCGCCAGTAAGTGTGGGGCAGTAGCCATGCCCAGGCCTTTTTGTCTCCACACCCCGCTTTGTTGAATTCCTAGTCTACCAAAGCGTTCTGGAGAACTTGGGAACTTGTTCCCAACGGATATTTGGGATACGTCCAATGAAAATCTTACCATAATGTGATTAAGTGATAGCTTATAGTTGTTTAAATAAAATAAAATAAATAAATAAGATGAGAACTCTGAAAAAGAATATGAGATTGCTGAGCTGGTACGTAGCCTTCCTCTGCCATCCTCGCCAACGTATCCTGGCTTCAGCCCCAGCAAGCATGGCCAATATCTGAAGGGCACCTGCTTGGGGGAGCCCACTTCCAATGATAGCTTTTGTAATGGCAATTATTTTAAAAAGCTTCAAAAAGTTGAGTCTGAAAACCTAAGCCCCGTGGGACTGCCACTGAGTGCAAACTGCATAGGAACAGGCCACTCCTATCCCTGCCAATGCAATGCCGGATGCATGGAAATCCCCTATAACTGCCCCTCTTCTTTCCCCGTGGGAAGCTGGCCTTGTCCATGAGGACTATGGAGTGCAGACCGCGGCAACAGTGGGACCTTATTTATTTGAAGTTTTATCTCACCTCATTCAGACGCTTGGTGCTGATAACAGGATCAAAACAAGCATGGAACATTACTTAAAACTGAAGCAGCTGAGCAAACCATGCAAACAGATACTGTATGGAACAGTCAACAAGGATTTGACTCATAATTATATCTCATAAGTAGACTCGTTGCGTGTTCCAATACACACACAGATAGTGTACAAAGACATTGTATACAAAGCTGGTACAGTTGCTTCCTAGTACATGGGACTTCAAAAACCAGAAGTGCTGGTCCCCTGTTCCCCCCATCTTATTTGGAGGCTTAGAACCCACGAGTTGTCAACCCTTGTTGTGGAAGTAAGTGGATGGCTGTGGCTAATGAACGATGAAAGTGCCACCAGGTGAGGAGTGGGTAAAACCTAGAGGAGGATCCACAGCTGTGGATGCTGGAGAATATAGTCTGAGTTATGCGTGCCTGCTGTGGTCTGTGCTATTCTTTGCTGAAGTGATCTCTGCCCTCCAGCATCTTCACGGGCACAGCCACAGCCACTACAGCACTGAGACGCTTCCTTCCAAAAAGGACCAGGAGGAGGGAGTCACTGAGAAGCTGCAGAACGGAGACCTGGATCACATGATTCCTAACAAGAACAGCAATCTGGAATGCAAGAATCCGTCAGTGGATGAGAAGATTGTTAGCTCCTTATCTGTTCAGGTTAGTGGACACGTGTATTTAGATCCTACTCCAAAACTCATCTGTTTGTAATGCTCACAGTTGTAGCCAGCTTGGATTGATGTATTTTCTATTAAGTTTGAAATTGACTGAGAGTTTTGCAGCATGCACACAAGGAAAGTACTACACATCTTCTCCCCACACAAAATGTTCAGTTGTCCTACACCCCCCTGGCCTCCCAAAAATAGACCTGAAGCCTTCTCATTAGCCGCTTGCTATGCTGCAGCTCCAGCTCAAAAGAGGAGCCAAAAAAGGCATTCTAGGTCCATCTTCAGGCTGCTGCCAGCAGGTAAACAGCAGCAACATCGCAACACAGGCAAGTCATGTGAAAACAACCAATCTGATCGGGGCTCCAGGACATGGTGATACATGACTTCATGCTGCACTATGTGATTATTCCAAACTATAAGCTCCCAAGATGCCCCTTGATATTGTGTATGCACAAAGCTCAGACACTCCAAATAGGATTCCCTGTTAAAGAGAACCCTTCTCTGAGCTCACACAGACCATTTCATCCCTTTCATCTGAAGCAAGTCCACCCGCCATTCATTTTAGTCTGACTTGGTTGAAAAATCATAGAGGAGCTCTGCCCTCAGCCACCTGCATGCGCTTGGCCCGTTCAGATGTAATTTCTTGCTTGCTCCTCCAAGGTTAGGAAATAAGAAGTGTGCTGTGGGGTCATGTGCTTTCTCCCTGCCCTGCATGAATCCTACACTCCCAACCATGGTTAAAGTTGCACTGACACTAATTAGTTTCTCCCTGTCCACTAGGGTGTGACACTAGCATCTCACCTGCACCTGAAACCCTGATTAAGAGGGGATTCTGGCTAGCATTAAGCAATGAAGATTAGTAAAGGCAAGCGAGTGGGGAACTTAGACACAAGAAGGAATGGGGAAGCATGATCCTCCTTTCTGAAGCCATGGCTGGAGGATTGGGAGGATTACATCTGGGCCTGAATAACTAAATGTGAGACGAGAAAATAAGAGCTGTGCTTATAATTCATAAGCATATAATCTTTGATGGCCTGTTGCTGCAGAGGCAGATTGATATATTCCCCGTTTATCAACGGCTTGTTCGTAGTGATGCACTGGCAGAGTGAGAATGATTGAAAGGCGGATGCCACAGCATTGCCAAGAAAATATGGCTTCCCTGTACATTAAATCATCGGGGGGGGGGGTAGATGGGGAGTTTTTTACTGTTTTAAAGTTTTATTGTATTTTAATTTGTTTTTATGGAGTTGTCCCTGGCCATATCGATGGCTGAGTTTCCTGGGGAGCGCGGGGGCGCCGCCATTGGGGTGGTCACGGGCAATGGACGTTACAGCAGCGGGGGCTTAACGTGTCTGCATAGAAGAAGGAGGGACAGATGGCTGACACCCGTCCCTCCTTCTGGTTCTGCCCCCAGCCAGAGGGTTCCAGGTAGTCTTGTCAACCGCCCCTCGGGCCTGACGGTGCTGCTGCTTAATGCCAGGTTGGTCCACAATAAAACTTCCCTCATCCATGACTTGATTGTGGATGAGGGGGCCGACCTGGCTTGCATAACGGAGACCTGGGTGGGAGGGGGGGGATGTCGCCCTCTCTCAAATGTGCCCGCCTGGGTATCTGGTTCAGCACTGTCCACGCCTGGAGGGGAGGGGAGGGGGGGTCGCTTTGGTTTACCGAGCCTCCATCTCCCTCACGGGTCTTCCAGTCCCTTCGAGACCAGGGCTGGAGTGCCTCTACTTGGTGTTGGGCGATCGAGACAGATTGGGGATTCTGTTGGTGTACCGTGCACCCTTCTGCCCAACAGTCTCCCTGCCTGAGCTGATGGAGATCGTCTCGGACCTGGTGTTGAGGACCCCCAGGATGTTGGTCCTGGGGGACTTCAATCTCCATGCTGAGACTGGTCTGACCGGGGCGGCTCAGGACTTCATGGCCTCCATGATGGCCATGGGGCTGTCTCAACATGTCACAGGCCCGACCCATGAACGTGGACACACTCTGGACCTGGTTTTCTCGACGGGGCAGGAAGAGGGTGGTCTGAGGGTGAGGAATTTATGTCTGACACCTCTGTCATGGTCAGATCACTTCCTCGTGAGGTTTGTGCTCGAGAGCGGCCTCTCCCTCTGTAAGGGTGCGGACCCGATTGTGTGGGTCCACCCACGGAGCCGGATGGATCCGGACGGATTCCTGAAGGCCCTGGGGGAGTTTCCGGCTGACAAGACTGGTGCTCCTGTCGAGGCTCTGGTCGAACTATGGAATGGGGAGATGACTAGGGCTGTTGACACGATCGCTCCTAAGCATCCTCTCCCACCAGGCAGAGCCCACTCTTCCCCTTGGTATACACCTGAATTGTGGGCGATGAAGCAGGCTGGGAGACGGCTAGAGCGTAGGTGGAGGAGATCATGGGATGAATCTGACCGAACACACTTAAGAGCCCATTATCGGGCCTATGCTGTGGCGGTGAGGGCGGCGAAAAAGAAATTCTTTTCCGTTTCCATTGCCTCCTCAAAATGCCATCCGGTGGAGCTTTTTCAAGTGGTACAAGGCCTGGTCCACCCTGGCCCTAAGAAAGATCTGGTTCCACCCTCGAAGGCCTGCTGTGACGACTTTGCCAAGCATTTCAGGGAGAAAATCACTCAGATTCGTCACGAGCTAGACTCTACTAGTGATTCAGAGGCTTCTGGGGAGATACCAATGTCGCCATCTGGTCCAAAATTAATGGATGAATTTCAGTTATTGCGGCCTGATGATGTGGACAAAGTGCTTGGACAAGTACATCCCACCACTTGCCTATTGGACCCTTGCCCATCTTGGTTAATAAACAACGCCAAGCACGGGATTGGGATCTGGATCTTGGAAGTGGTTAACGCTTCTCTGAGGGAGGGTCGGGTACCTGCCCCTTTAAAGGAGGCGGTAGTCCGACCGGTCCTGAAGAAAGCGTCACTGGATCCAGAGATGGCCACTAATTATAGACCAGTGGCCAACATCCCATTTCTGGGCAAGGTGTTGGAGCGAGTGGTGGCGGGGCAACTCCAAGCACTCTTGGATGAAACTGATTATCTGGACCCATTTCAGTCCGGCTTCAGACCCGGGTACGGTACTGAATCTGCCTTGGTCATCCTGTACGATGACCTGTGCAGGGAGAAGGACAGGGGGAGTGCATCCCTGTTGGTTCTTCTGGACCTCTCGGCGGCTTTCGATACCATCGACCATGGTATCCTTCTGGATAGGCTAGCGGGATTGGGAGTTGGGGGCACCGCTTTGCGGTGGTTCCGCTCCTATCTCAATGGCCGATTCCAGAAGGTGGTGCTGGGGACGATGGCTCTGTGCCATGGCAGCTATGCCATGGAGTACCGCAGGGGTCCATTCTGTCCCCCGTGCTATTTAACATCTATGTGAAACTGCTGGGAGAGGTCATTCGGAGGTGTGGGCTGTGGAATCATCAGTACGCTGATGATACCCAGCTCTACCTCTCGTTTTCCACCAATCCAGGTGAGGCAGTGGCAGTGCTGAACCGGTGCCTGGCCGAGGTAATGGGCTGGATGAGGGCCAATAAACTGAAGCTCAATCCAGACAAGACGGAGGTCCTGTTGGTTGGTGGATCGGGCTTCGGGGAGAGTGAATTGAACCTAGTCCTGAATGGGGTTGCGCTCCCTCTTAGGGACAAGGTTCGCAGCTTGGGAGTGCTCCTCAACCCAGAGCTTTCACTGGAAGCTCAGGTGACAGCGGTGGCGAGGAGCGCTTTCTTTCAGCTTCGGCTGATCCATCAGCTGCACCCCTACCTGGAGTACGACTGCCTGGCGACAGTGACACACATGATGGTGACTTCCCGACTTGACTTCTGTAACGTGCTCTACATGGGGCTACCCTTGAAAGACGGTCCGAATACTTCAATTGGTTCAAAATAGAGCTGCCAGGCTGCTGACGGGGACTGGGCGTTATGTTCACATGACTCCAGTCCTCCGTCAGCTTCACTGGCTTCCCATTGAAGTCTGGGCCCAATTCAAGGTGTTGGTGATGACCTATAAAGCCCTAAACGGCTTGGGTCCTGGTTACCTGAAGGAGCGCTTACATCCATATATGCCCACCTGCCCCTTGAGATCTGCGGGAGAGGCCGTTCTCTGGGAACCCTCCGTGAAGGAAATTAGGAGGGTGAGTACCCGGAGGAGGGCTTTCTCTGTGGTGGCGCCCAATCTATGGAATGCACTCCCCAGAGAGGTCCGCCTGGCGCCGTCGTTATTTGTTTTTCGGCGCCAGGCGAAGACCTTTTTATTCGAATGTCATTTTAATTGTTAATAGTATTTATTCATTTTATTTTTTGGCCAGGGCGACTTAATTTATACTGTTAATTTATATTATTCTATGGAAGTTTATTTATGGATGTGAGCCACTCCGAGGCTTCGGCGAATGGGGCGGCATAGAAGTCTCCTAGATAGATAGATAGATAGATAGATAGATAGATAGATAGGGTAGAGAGGTCAGTTTAGATGCTTGTTTACATTCATGATCTTTCATTAGGACACCAGGATGGGAGACTTGACTGTCTTTTCTCTGCTCCAGCTTCCCCCCAGTGTGGTATCTCACACATACCTGTGTGCATATGTATACAAAATAGGCAAGGCTTTGGGTACCAGTGGCAAGATGTGCATATTGCGTACAAGCAGCCATACGTGCCCATTAGATGATGCAAGGCCCTCACAGGAGTATTGGTTCACCCACATTCCTGTGTAGGAGGGGGCTGAGAGCTCTTGCTTCAAGAACTGACCTGCTGCCTTGTGTGTTCCTTCTACTAATGCCTTTTCAGGATCTCCAAGCTTCTCAAAGCACATGCTACTGGCTGAAAGGTGTACGTTATTCTGACATTGGCACCCTGGCCTGGATGATTACCCTGAGTGACGGCCTTCACAATTTTATCGACGGTTTAACCATTGGGGCCTCTTTTACTGTCTCCGTCTTTCAAGGAATCAGCACCTCTGTGGCCATTTTCTGTGAAGAATTCCCCCATGAGCTAGGTACGTGCTCCTTAAGCTATGCAACAGGACTGGAAAATCAATAACATTCCCTTGAGTGTTGCTAGATATTATGAATACAGGTTTGCCTACAATGAGGTCTTTATTAAGGAACAAATAAAGGGACAACCAAAATGATCAGGTCGTAGGAGCATCTTTCTTGCGAGGAAAGGTGAAAGTATTTTGAGCTTTTTATTTGAGAAAAAAGACAACTTTTTTCTTTAGTGAAAGAAATGGATAGAGAACCTTCTTTTCCACAGTTATTGAGTGAAATTGATTTGCCTGTCTTGAATCTCCTTTACATAATGTATAGTTAATGATTGGACAGAGGAATCGGCTGAAGTAATCAGTAACTGACAGGGAACCAAAAACTTACTCTTATGTCTGAACCAGAACTCCTGGAAACAAGGAGCTGAAAAACAACTACAAACCCGGGTACAAATCCAAACAACTCAAGAAGAGATTGTGAATTGTGGGTTATTTGTGGTTAGCGCACCACAGGTTGTTTGTGCGGCTGAGTTCAGACAACACAATAAGCTAAGGTTCAGCAGTAACTCACATTCATCCTTTGAGTGTACATTATGTTATATGAATCCAGTCACTTAATACTAGTTGGTGAGGGACAGCAAGAAGCGAGAATTCTATTTTCAAATCTCAAGATACCTCAAGGCATCTGATTGGCCACTGTGAAAAGAAGGTTGTTGGAGCAGATGGACCTCATGATCTAAGACCCTTGAAGGCAACAGAGGGCAGTCACAGGAGGCTAGGTATCAAGGGAAGGCTTTTGTTCATCACCCAGAAAGCCTCAGCTATTGGGCTGTATAAAAATTAAATATTTGGTCTTAACAACCAGACCTTAGAGGCTGGACTGAGACGGCAGTGTTAAAGGTAGCTTGGGGTACCTCTGTCCCACTGTGAACTAGTCTTTTAAGAGGCAAGCAACACTACAGTTGAGACAGAAAGGAGAATCAGCTGGAACAGTCAGCTTGCCAAATGATGCTGTTTTTGGCCCTCTATGCAGTGTGTCTTAATAAGGCTTGGAAACGGGAGTTCCTTGTCCAGGCCTGCTGGGAAGTTACTGAAATAATGTTCTGACTTTGTCCCAGTGGGCGAGTGAGTGTAACTAGAGCTCAAGGCCATTTAAAAGTTCAACATATTTGAAAGTTTTTAAAAACTTCAGCATGAAAACAGTGAATTGAAGAAATGAAAACACACCACACAGGAAATATCAAGAAACATTTTTTATATGAAAAAATGAATGCAGAAGAACATCACATGCAGAAGTAAATGTGAAATGTGGAACAATTACAGAGAAAATACAACTGTAACTGTGAACCACAAAGTGGTGTGACTTGCATTTAAAAATTACATCATGTAAAGTAGACTACAGTTTAATTTGCCGACGCCTGTTAGAAAAACATTACTAAATGCATATACTAGCTAGCAATGGTTGGAATTCTTATTTAGTTCCACTTTAAATCCCAGCAGTTTAAACTAATTAAATGCAATTCTTAAAGCTGCCAACTATTTATTTAAAATTTTTATATGCCGTCCCTTATGCATGGCATCTCAGGACTATGTAGCAGTGTAGGACTAGACTTTAGAGAAAATAAAAATTATAGCTACCTATCGAAAGCAGAGGTCTGAAGAATAGGTTTCTGTGGACCCAGATGTAGATTGGAGGAGACTTCTCCCAATGTCCAAGATTTAAGACCCAGCAGAGTCTGGATAGGAAAATTAATCCAGGTAGAAAGCTAAGAATTTTTTTAAAAAATATGTATGAGGTGATGAAAACAAAACTTAACCAGTGAATAAAATAAAACAGAGGAGGAGAACCAAGCCAAGTATCTGGTTCAGAAAACTGGCTTCTAGGGAAGGGTGGGGTTGGCCCTAAAAGCTTCATAGTTAGGGAAGAGACATATTCAGAAAAGGGAGGACATAGCAAAAGTTGGCCACAGGTGTGTAGAAAAAACCCAAATCTGCTAACTAAACCCAGAGTTGAGTGAGAAGTAAAGAAGGGAGGAACAAAATGGGAGTTCCTTTCATATGAGGCAGTTTCTTGTTCGTCCTGCTGACATTCCCCTGGTACTATACGACATGTACTGATGTACACAAGTTAGATGTTCAGAATGCTACCTGAGGAGTTTATTAGGCAGGAATCTGATTATGAAGACATGGTGCACTCCCCTGGGTTTAACTTCACTGTCCTTCATCTTGCAGGTGACTTTGTCATTCTGCTGAATGCTGGAATGACAATCCAGCAAGCGCTCTTCTTCAACTTCATCTCAGCTTGCTGCTGCTATGTGGGACTAGCCTTTGGTGTAGTGGCCGGCAGCCACTTCTCTGCCACCTTTATCTTTGCTCTAGCTGGCGGAATGTTTCTCTACATTGCCTTGGCGGATATGGTAAGTGATAGGTCGATACACTAAGCACTTGGCTGAAGTCTTCCTCATCAAAGGAGTCTTGAATCATCCATGAGAAATGTTGCATGCACAGTGTACTTGTACTATACAGAGCAAGGACTTTGGGGCTGAATTTGGCTTTGCTAAATAATAATAATAATAATAATAATAATAATAAGCCAGATTTCTAGTCCCATGACGGTGGGAATCATGATGGTAATTAGGGTGGTGGTGATGCTGATAATCATGGTGATGATGAAAGGGAAATATGAATAGTAGACTGTCTAAAAAGACCAGAAGCTCTGAGGACCTTTCTCAGAGGTAAGCCGTATCTTTCGATATTCGTATTGCTACCCGACAGTGGCAATGGGTATTTCTCTCCAGGTTATAACATTCACTTGCAAGTATGTCCAGTTGCTTTCTGCTGCTGCTCTGCTTTTATAGCTGATATGAATTAAGAGATACTGTAGTACTTGAAATCTTCTCAAACTGACTGGTGAAGTGGGGCTTTACATATTCTGTAATGTCTTATTTTGAAATCATCAGAACTGCAGAGTTAAACGCTGTTTACTGCTGAAAACCCAAATTCTGCATTTTCTTGTCTGTTTTCTGTAGCTGCAAGTGCATTCAGAGAAACAATTCTGTGCTAAATGCAATTTCTTTCCTTGTCCAATAAGTTTCCAGAGATGAATCAAGTCAGCCAAGAAGATGAAAGGAACGGCAGTGCTTTGATTGCCTTCGCTATCCAGAATGCAGGACTGCTGACAGGATTCACCATCATGGTGCTGCTCACCATGTACTCCGGAGAGATCCAGCTGGGGTAGAGGCGTGTGTCTTGCTACCTGCCGGGCGTAGGGACTGTGTAAAGCACAGCTTCTGTCCAACGATTACAGAAAGAGGCATGTTTATTCAGCCTGCTTCATAGACTTCTTACGGACTGACTTACAGTGGCTGACAAAGCTTGTCACTGTACGATTAAGTGACCTAAGCACCATTTTTTTAGAGTAGCAACCGCTTCCTTCTCCCCTTTCTCCTTCACATTCTAATGGATTCTAAGAAGAAAAAGCTTCCCGTTCCATACGTCCTCTTAAGTGCCCCCAGCCAGAGGTTTTTGAATTCCCACATCCTTTTTGGCCCAGCAGTGGATGACACAGCAAACTCTGTCTGCTACAACTGTTGCATCAGTCAGTTTGAAAGCAGAGAGCTGTTCTCAGAATTTTAAACGGAGCATCCATGGTTGGTCAATTTGGGAAAAATGCCCCGAATTTGGAATGGTTAATGGTTTGCAGATCAAGAATAAATATTTCCAGTAGTATAAGAACTTATAAAAACTGTGGGTGGTAGGGACCCACTGGAAAAAGCTTTCCCTTCTTTGTGTGTATGAGAAAGAGAGCTTTCTGTGATCTGTCTAAAATCAAAACATAAGAAATGCTTTCCTATTAAAGCATTTCTCCTATTAAAATACACATACACATTAATGCAAGTTTTAAAGGTTGACAAAGAAAAATGGTGTGATTAGTTCACCCAGGATTTCTTGACAGGTGATAAAACTAATTGCAAACCATTTGGGATATTCAAAAAGAAAATGACTGTCCTTCAAGAACGGTTTTGGTCCTCTTTAGATCCCTTGTTCCATCTTTTATGTTTTAAAGAATTTAACTTTTCCTTAAACACTGGGGCGTAAGCCCTCCCTTTTAATTTCCTCTGTCTTCCTCGAAAAGAGTCTCTCACATACTGGCCTGCTTCTTTTCAAAGTGTGCTTCCTAAGCAGTTGCTCTCCATCCTCTGGTTGGTGTGAAGAGGTGTTGCAGCAGTCTGTGAAAGTGAAGCCCAGATTTGGGGAGAGGGACAGTTTGTCTTAGGAAGTGTACTTCAGGATGAGACTTCCCAGAGTCACTAGGTGAACTGATGTATTATCATATTGATAATATCAAGCCCTTCAGCTTAAGTGTATAGATTTTCCACCCGACACATTCTGTATAAGAATTTGTAGTTTTTGTGCTGTGTAAACAAGAGGAAGCCTAGTTCTTTGACAGAAAAACTAAGATGATACCTACTCTGTCGGGTTTTCCACACCCTCACAGCTGGGACTTTGTATATCTGAATTGATTTATCCTGGTGCATAAGGGAACACATATCTTTGCTCTCCACCCTTTCCCCCAGATTGGTTTGTGATGCAGAAAATGACTGGATCGCCTCCATTATATTTCCCTGTCATGGGAGGATTTCGCTCCTACTTCAGCCCCAAGATGCATTAGTGTGCAGTGCATATCCAAAAGGTGCGCATCCTCAGCTGCACTGCAACGAAGTCATGTAACACTCAAAAGGAAATTCTTTTGCACAGATAAACAGGATGTCCAGGAGCCCTCAATGCGCACTTTCTTCCTCACTGTGCCCATTAATGAAACTGCCTCTTCTCTCAAAAATGAAAGGTATACAGGTGCCAAATCAGTTTGGCAACATGGGGGGGGGTTAGACCCCTTTGCCCAAATCAAGTTCCCCCCTTACCTATTTTTTTACTCTTGTGTAAATTGGTCCTTAGCAACTTGTTCTACCCTGTGTAGACAAGAGGCATTGATATCTCCTTTCCTTTACAAGGCTCTTGGGATTAAAGTCCACCTGTGTGGAGCTGGGAAAAGTGATACTGAGACCAGGAGGCCAGAAGCAAGTACCAGCTCTATTAATTTTCAAAGCCTTTACTGGCCTTTGTTTGCAGAAACTGTGAAGTGTAGCTGACTGACAAAAGCTGTTCACTCATTTAAATGATAACAATAGAAAATGAAGGTTTTGAGCATCCCTGGAAAGTTGAGGTCCCTGGTAGAAAACAGAGTACTTTGGAGGAGGTTGTTATAGTGGCATCAATTCATTTTCAAAATAAGGAAGCATGAACTTGAGTTTTCCCGGCAAGGTAAACTGCTGCATCTCCTTTTGAGATCTCTGTTAACGTTGCGTATTTGCTTAGCTGTCTATTACTCATTCATTTCTACTAGCACAACTGATATAGTTACTAGAGTTAGAAAGTACAACTTGCCTATGGCAGAAATTATGTTTATTCCATTTTTAAGGACTTTGTAGCCATTTTGAATGAAGAGGCTTCAATAGAATTTTACAATATACCTGCCTGATCAAATAGTCACTTGTTATTGGTTTGAACCAACGGATGTTGTTAAAAAGCATTAACACCATTTTATTCAATAATTCTTAGGATCTTTCCAGTGATATCCCTAGGATACCTTATCTGTATTTATGTTCATTTTAGGAAGAAACATTTTTGACCATGACTTTTGAGCTGGGAACCATCATTCAGACTTTGTAGTGGAGTTTCTTTGATAATTTTAATCCTTGGCATGTTAATAATAAATATACCAAAATGAAGCGCATCCTTTTGTTCTTGGAAAGGTCAGAACTGAATAGTCCAGCACTAACCATTCAGGTCCTGTTCTTTGACTTGAGAGCAAACGGATGAAATAGGTCCTACTCATGTCATTTTATGGCTTCATTTAGGAATTAAATCTTTTAGAACAAATTTTCCAGGACTGCAGCAGAGAAATGATTCTCTGGCCAGTAAGGTAGCTTGCTGCAAGGTACTAAATACTCAGCTAAGTCAATATCTGTATTTTAAGGTTATTTTTGAGATCAATCCAGTATTTGCACTGTGTAAGAATCTTTATTAAATCTCTTCACCTCAGCTATGTAGATTCCTTGCCTACAATATTGTCTACAATATTTTCATAGTCTTGAGTTCCCTTTCATTGCAGAACTGAGTTAATGAAACGCATTTTGAGAAAAAGGAGCGTTGATCAAGCCTGGCAACAGGGACAGTACAAAAATAATTCTGTAACGCCTGCTCCAGTGTAACACGCTGACCAACCCTGCATGTACTTCTTCAGAAGCAAGTCCCGCTGAGTTCTGTGGGGCTTTTCCACAGCAGTGTATTGGAATATAGGTTCAACATTCATGGAATTTAATGAGGTGGTAAATACAGTTATTGCACTCAGAAGTTCAAAGGGCACACATCTCTCTTGCTTGTGCCAGATCCATTTAAATCTTTCAGGAAAGGGACTGAGAAGGGTGAAAGCAAAACTGACCAAACTGTGAGCAAGTGTTGATTTCTTATTTGTATTCCTAATGAGTGTTTTCTTGCAGGTTGATTCCCCCACTGCCCGTCTTAGTATTTGAATAACTCAGGTGTTGTAAGAAAATTCACTGAAACAAAGAGCTTAACTTATGTCACGTGACTTGTAAAGTTGTTTGTAAAATGCCATGAATAAACTATATTCTGTAATGACAATAAAAAGTGTTTTCTTTTTGTAGCTGAAGCATGGCCCCCACTAGTGCTGGGAGAGGGACCCAAACAAGAGATGCTGCTTTCTTGAAATTCAGTAGTTCTCCACTAGAGGGAGCAAAAGCTCTTACTAAGTATTTTGGCTTTAGAAGCAATTGAACAGACTCCATTTTGGTGCATGGTTAATAAGTAGGATGCTTTCTTTCCCAGCCTCAGTAAATTATGGTACTGAAAAGGGATATAGATGGTCAAGCTTCTGGGGCAGGTGCCCCAAAGGTAGGATGCTGCAGCCAAAAAGTCCCCTTCCCCTGTTACTACTTTGGTTCCTCAAGGTAGAAGCACTGATAGATTCAGAGAATGACCTGACTGATAAGGAAGACTGCAAAGAGGACTCGGAATCTACTGAGTCAATTTAGGGAAGTTCAAGCACTTGCGTTAAGTCCCAGATTCAGTTTCTTGCAATTCCACATAAAAAGAACCCTGGGTAGCAGGTGATATAAAAGGCTTCTCTGTAAGATGCTGGAAAGCCATTATACCAAGCTGCACTTGGTACGCCTGATCTGCAGACTGCCTCCTGTCCCCTAAGCCAGTCAGGCGTTTCCCAAAAAGCAAAGTGCCACTGAGACTACTGCTTTATTGTTGCTAATAATCGTGGTCAAGAAGTGAGTATGGCCAAGGTTGCTGGCATGGGAGGAGGCCCTGGCACTTAATGGGGGTGCTTACATTGTTATCAACAACTAGGTCCTGCTTTTCCCAGTGACCCAGATCACTCTTTCCATGGAGCTAAGCTAGCAATGGAGGCTAGCAATGGACTGGAAATCCATGTGTAGCTAGCAATCCTGTTTCCTGAATGAAGCAGTAAGGGTGCATCCATTTCTGAATGTCCAGTCATGGACTACAACTCAGGAAGTTTCTGTTAGATGTAGTGCTGCTCTTTAAGCAGAAGATGGCAGTGATGCCTATAGTGTTAACATGATTTATGTTTTCTTGGGATGTGTTAGGAATCCAATGGGGTAAAGATTCAAAGGATTTTCCACCAAATGGCCCCCTGGATTCGAGTTTGTTACATCCGTGATAGTTTTGACTCCCTGTTGTGGATGTTGAGCCACCTTGCAGATTTTTATCACTAAGATAGGCTGTGCTTTGTACCTGAAAACACACCAGGGAAATTGGAAGCTGAACACAATTTGTACAATTTTCCTCAGTGGTTTTTTAATGTGCAAAACACAGTCCATCTTAGAAACATAATTTTGCAGGACTTCCCCCCTCCCCAAATAGGCCTGCTTCCAGTCATTGGATCAGAAGCCAGACTTTCCAGCATCAGCACATCCTTATTTTGAGCCTGTTACCCTTCATGTGCGATTAAAAGTTCTGTATTTTATACAGTGAACATATCCTGGGGTCTAGCATAGAATGCCAACTATAGCTAGTTTGAAGTATGCTTTCAGATTTCAACTTTTCAAGTGAAATTAAGCATCTTGTCAATAACATCCTGGCTGGAAATCAAATTGAACTTCACCAACTGCAGCAAATAAAAGGGAGGGTGTGCATAATAGGGGCCCTTAAGTTTTGTATGCATGTATGTGTATTTGCAAACAAAGTGCCTAGCAATCCACATTTCAGTCTCTCAGCTTTTAGAAACATCTCTGAGCGAAGGGTGAGTTACTGGAAAGCCAGGACTGTCACAATACTAGCCTATCCAAGATCAACTGTTGGAGTCTCTATTTTTTTTAATCATGCTTTTCAGACAAAATTAGTTCAACTGGGGCACGCACACTAATCTTAAAAATTAAGATGTGCCATGCCTCAGATGACACGAGAGAAGTAGAGAGGAGGGATAAACAGTATGAAATTCTATCAGGGCAGAGAGGTAACATAGAAATAAGGTATTGAAGAAGTAGAAATGTAAGGATTCTACTCTAAGAAATGCAAGGTTTCTTCTTCTAGTGATAGTTTTGTCTCCTGTGGACCTGGCCAGCTTTGTTGGTCCACAACAGAAAAAACAGCAGCAGTCTGTAGCACTTCATTGCATTAATGCTTAGTATTGGCATAAGCTTTTGCTAAGCCAGAACCCACTGGGTAGATTCCTTCTCTGTAGGGTTACTAGGAATTACCATTGCTACATGGTGGTGAAAGCAGATCAAACGCAAAGCCCCTTTCCAGATGGGGTAGCTATTACAGCACAAACAGAAAATGAGACTTTCCAGAGGGCTAGCCACATTAAGCCTCTGGCAGAAAAAGCAAGAGTCCTGTGGGGAACCTTAAAATGAACATTCGGGCATAAGATTTCACGGACAAGACTCCACTCATTTCACTTAGTGCATACTTTTGTGGAGCCTATTAACTCAGCATAGGGGAGACTCTTCTGTCCATAGATCCCTTTTTTCCAAATAGGATCCTCACACAAAACGCCTAGAAAAATAAGCCTATGCAATTTATTTTGTCCGGTGAGTTAGTGCCCAGATCTTTTCTGTACCGCCCTCGGCGAGAAATAAGGCTTGTGCTATTTCTACGGAAAGACAGTACAATTTGTAATACTTTTCTATGCTGAAGGTCCTGCAGAGAAGAGAGAAGGAAGAAAAAAGCAGCAGCCCTTCAATATGCTTTGCTGCATGAAAGCGTGGTTGGTGCCACGACCTTTTCCCTCCCGTGGCATCGAAGCGCTTCTGGAAGCCCGCCCTACGGGGACCACTATTGCAGCGGAGGCAAAATAATGTCATGCAAAGCAGCCCGTTTTGCACGTGCGCTTCCCGCGTCGCTCGTCCCTTTGCACAGCTGGAACGCCTTGAAAGCGCCCCGCCCTCCGTTCATTCCTTCGCCCCCCCTCAAAGCTGGCTCCAGCTGTGTGTATCCTAGCAACTCTCCCTCCCCTTCAAAATGGCGGAGGAAGAAGGAAGGGGAACTCCATTGACCGCAGCTGGATCATGTGACCTAAAAGCGCGTAGGCTGCTCTACTTCCTCCTCGGGCGGAGGGGGGGCTTTTTCCCCTCCGCACACGCAGGCGTGTCGGAGGCCAATCAGAACGCGTGCGGCGGCCTCTCAAGGCGGAGTAGGGAAGGCTCGCGGTACGCATGCGTAACGGTGGAGAGCGCGAGCGAGAGCGGGGGGAGCGGCGAGAAGAGGGTGGTTGCCAGCGCCTGCGCCGTAGGAAGAAAAGAGAAGGCGGCCTTGACAGCTTGTGCCTGGCGTGCCGTAGAAGCGGGGGGAAGCGAGTAGCGACGCTGGCGCATGCGTGATAGCGGGCAGGCGCGGGGGGCGCGGGTGGAGAGAGCCGCCGCCGCCGCCGCCTGGGCGCTGAGAGGATTCCCCAGTTTCTGCGCCGCCGCCGCTTCCCCCCTGCCGCCGCCGCCGCCGCCTGGGCCTGCTTAGCCGCCGCTGTCGTTGGAGTCCCGGCCCCTCCCGTGGGGAGGCAGGAAGGTCCCGGGAGCCGACGGGACAGGAGGGACCATGTCCGGGCGCGCCCAGAGCGGCAAGCTGTCCACGACGGAGCGCATCGTGAAGGGTGAGGGGTCTGCGGGGGCGCCCCGGGCGACCGCGGGGGAGGGAACAAGGGACGGGAAGGAGGGCGACTTCCGTTGCCTGAGGTGGAGGGAAGCTGCCAGGCGCCGACCTGGATGTCATTATCCTCCTCTTCCTCCATGCTGGGGGGGAGATACCCTCAAAGAGGAGGGAGGGGCTTAATGGGGTGATGGACCATAGTAATAACCAGCAGCGGGGTCCCCTTTGGACTAGGCAGATGGGAAACCCCTCACCGCATGCAAAGCTAGTTATCCCATTAGCGGGGGTGAGGGATGATAGTTGTTTTGAATGGGGGGGTGGTGGGGAGGACGGTGGGCCGTTGTGGAATCCTGCACAGAGGTGGAAGGGCAACACCTCCCCCTCGCCTTTTGCTTCAACCCTGCAGCGCTTCATTATCAGGTTCTGTGGGGTGAGCCATGGAGGGGTAGCTGATTTATTTATTTTTGATGGGGTGGGTTTGGAGAAGTCACCAAGCATGTCCGTTTGGGGGAAGGAGGTTGTCTGTGGTGTCCTGTCATTTTAGGGGCTAGTAAGGATGGGCGAGAGCTGGCCTTTGTTTTGGGGGTGATGGGAAGAAGGTTTCCTCCATTTAACAAGAGAAAGAAAGAGGTCGGCCCTGCTGCTGGGTTGCGATGAGAAGCAAGGAGTTCCCTTTCCCGTGTGCCGAAGGGAAGATGGAGCTGTGATAGGACTGGAGGGGATGCAAGGAGACTGGACTGGGGAGCTGCATGGGCAGCAGAGGTTCAGCTGCGGCGACACCCTTGTGTTGTGACAGTGACATTTCAAAAACCTGTGCCTTTTGGTTGAGGCTCCTAGTGACAGCGCTTCCTTTTTCATGTGCTTGTTTGCAGAGCTGTTAGATGTGCATATAGCAAAGTAACAAAAGGGCTCCTTTCAGAGGGCTCTATAATAATACCAGGAGTATCATGATTGGTTCCAGGTGGCAAGAAACTTCCAATGGGGGCTAGCTAAATGCCTTTGGACACGCATAAGCAGGGGATAAAGGTAACAGGTCTGCCCAATTGTTTATCCCCTATGTAGGTGTCTGCCTATGTAAAGGGTGTCTCTGTTTGGCTGCTAATGATAGGTGTATCTTTTGTAAATTTTCCCAATCGTTTTAAAAGGTTATTTCCACATGCATGGTGTTAAGAAACAAGAAACAAAACACATATGTGGACTTTGAAAAAGGACAATTATTGTATTTGCTGAACAAGCTTTCCCCAACTATATCCCTTTCAGATGTTTTGCACTTCAGCTCCCATTAGCTCTCGCCAATGCAGATAGTGATCAGGAATTCTGGGAATGGTAGTCTGTAGCATTTGGAGGGTGGCAGGTGGGGGAAAGCTGTGCTAAACAGAAGTCTAGGAGTCTGTGCACTGTGGACTGTGTAGCTGATCACAACTGGGTGTATTGTGTCACTGTGTCCCTCATTTCCAAATGACTTTGTGGCCTTCCCTGCTCTTTGGCTTTGTGGCCCCTCCGTGCATAGCAGGACCACTCTTTGCCAGCAGCTGGGCTTCTTTATGAATCCTTTTGATTGAACTCAGTGTACTTGTCTACTTAATGGTCAGGGATCACAGACCCCTTCCTGCCACCACCCCAAGTTGTGTACCTGAATCAGAGCATGCTATTTAAAACAGCTGGTGATACTGGAAACAGTTAATAAGCATGAGGGCAAAATGTTAATTGAGAAGCTGTTGGATTAGTGGGAGGCTTTTGCAGTGTAGATTTAGCTGTCCTAATTAATCTGGTGCCATCTATTATACCCATGTATTGGGGAAAGAGCAGCTTTATGCACTCATTTGTTTAAATGTGCATTCAACATTTAGTGGTTAAGATAGGAAAACTAAGAGAATTGGGATGTATGAAATTGTTACAGCCAGCTTGGTTGAATGCAAATGGGTTCCATTGCAGGTGTTAACTGGATCTCTGTGGAACAGTCGTGTAAGAGCTGTTGTCCATCCTTCTGAGGCTTTATATCTGCTCCTTGTTGCTCTACTAGTTTGTTTGATCACTTGTCGTTGTATTGTGTGTCATACAATCAGGTGTTTAAATAATTTGAAAGTTTTTACATTGATCTTACAGGATCTCACAGTGGTGCTCCTTATTAAGCCAAAAGGTATTATATTTTCTTGTGAAAGGGCATTCCCATAAGTGTGTCAGCCTTGTCTCTCCTCCCCTTCCTGTTTTATGTGCATTAAGGTTTTATTATGGTGTGCTTCACACAGATTAGATACCATTTAGGTGTAATCAAAACAAAGTCTCTCCCCCTCTCCACTCATGTTGGCCACTGGTCTAGTGCATGTTTATATGGAGAGTTGTGCTTCTAATTTGTGGGTGGTAGTAATTTTTGATTAATCTGGAGTGTAAATTTGGTCGCTCTTGATGTAGATGTTAAGCTCTCACTTTAGGATGCATTGAAATAATTCAGGGGGAGAGGTGGAGGGAATGTATCTTGTGCAATTCTCTGAAATCCTCAGAAGAAGCGGAAGATAAAACAAAATTTAATAAATATTAAGTGCTGGGGCATATAGGCAGGCAACATAGTGTAAGCCACCTAGAGAATCCATCTGGATTAGTGGGCAGCATACAAATCCACAATAAATAAATAGAGGCGGATTTAATCCTTTGTCCAACTTCAGAGTTGCCTTCAGCAAATAGTCTTGAGACTGGTTATTGTTCGTATGTGTCTAGAGCAAAAAGTGGGTCTGGAGTTTATGAGGAAATCTTCACTATACAAATGTATGTTCAAGATAAAGAAGCGTCTTAAAGCCATTTCTTTCTTTCTGACCATTTGCAAATTGATTCGGTTTATCCACTTTCCTTGCAGTATAGTCAGCAGACTGTTTGAAGTTATGACGGATGCCAGGGGCTCCATCTCTTTTAAACAATATGATTGCAAGGTATTTAATGCAAGTTGTTTGAGATCTGAGGAGAAATCCAAACTTTGATCACTTCTTCTACTGAAAACATCTCCATCTTATTAAATATATAAGACTGTATTTGCTCTATATATGTCTTTGTGCAATGCCTTTGCAAATGTTAGATCTCTTTTAACTGTGCTATTCATATCCTTTGTTAAATCCATTCATTTGCCCATCCAAGGAGCCCCTCATACCAAGCATTGTTCTTATACAACTTCATACCAAGAATCTGTATCTTATTTTGCCAGCTTCTTATTTTAAAAATGGAATGAATTGCTTTGAAGAAAATCTGAGGAAGCTCTTGGGAACTAACTCTGAGCAGTGCTGATTCCACATCCTTGATGTAAGTTCTGAGAATCTGACACTACAATGTCAGGCTTGCCAAACACTGCATAGAAGAAAGCAACTCAATAATTAACTTATATAGGCTTCTGCTTCCCACACTGTTTCCTAGTGTGAAGGGTCTATTCAGGAACACATCGTAATGTGGGTGGACCCTTTAGTATGGGTGCAGAAACTAGTAATAGGAAACAGCTAGCCAGATGTGAAAGCTTGATTGAGGTGAGGGATAAAGCCTGGTGCCCATTTGTTTCTTTTTCAGCCGAAAGCTTCAGAATTGAATAGGCCATGCGCCTGGTGTTACCCTCCCCCACTAACAGCTTTCCCTGGGTGATAACACTACTTTTTTATTTCCTACTCTCAGCTCATGGTAGCCACTGTTTCCACTCAGTAACCTGGTTTGCATGACCTGACAATACTTGATGGATTATTTAACCCACAACGAGCCGCTTTGCATATCTATTCCCTATTTAAGGGTTGTGCGCAGTCTGTTCTAGAGTTTTGCAAGGGTTGTTTCATCCTTGTATAACCCATGCTCGCCGGATTTTCAGGATAGGACAACCTTCAAGTGAGGGTTGGATATGCAAAGTAGCCACATGTTTTTAAGGTTAATTATATGATTGTTTATTTTGTAAGCCACCCCGAGGCTTTTTGCAAATGGGTCGGCATAGAAATGTTCTAAATAAATAAATAAAGCCTCGTCATAGATTAACCCATGGTGAAACTCTTGGGTCATGCAAACTGACCCAGGATAGGTGTGTTAAGTTTCAGCCATAGCAACCCTTGGAAAGCTGGGTGCAATGGATGGTCTTTTTGTGTGCCTCTGCCCAGGTTGAACTGGATGGAAATGTCTGAAAAACTGAGGTGACTGGGTGAGACAATCTTTACCAATAAGGTGGAGAATAGAGCCAGTGAAAGTGCCTTAGGCTAACCCATTTGCAGGATTTGTGTGCAGACAAGATTGTGTATGCTTCTCTGAGGAAGGGCAGGGTTTACATGTGGAAAAAAAAGGTAATGGGTGTCTGAGTATGTGCAGTCAGTGATGCTGTAAAATGAATTAAACCTTGGGAATGTCAAGTCAAGAAAATATTAGCAAACAATTTCCAGACCATGTGAGGTTGCCAGATGCTTGCCCGTTTGTCTGTGTTGCCCTTCTCTTGCATGCTGTCCTGCTTTGGCCTCCAGCTCCCAGCATTCCTGTCCATTGGTTAATGTGGCTGAGACTGATGGAAGCTGAGGTTGAACAACTTCTGGAAGGTACCAGGTAGATGAGACAGGTCTAGTTCTTGGCAGTGGATTTTCTAGGAACTTCTGTTTTGAAAGAGCAGTTTTGTGTATGATGATAAGAAATTACAAAAGCAGATGACAGCAGTGATTTGACAAACTGCCCTGATTAGATAGAGATCATTTTCGCTGGAGGGCCACACTGTTGGTGTTTAAAAAAGAAAACAAAGAAAGCAAAAGCACCAGGTGTATTGCAACACCTGGAAGAAAACTTGTTTGTATGTATAAAGATCAGGGGTTGCTGCTTGCTTTGCTACTAGTAAAGTGTACTACTATTTACTTATCAATTTGATTTACACCAGGCCTTTCTATCAAAAATGGTACAAGGAAGCTTTATGGTCAGTATGCAAAATGCCTTGAATCTTTGACATTTTTAGCAAGCTTGCTGTTGCTTAACCCGTTCTTTTCCTGTGACTTTTCATAATTAGTGGGATTA